TTAAGCTGCTGAAATGTGGGTTTCAAAAACCTATTCGCCCATCCAGTCCCTGATGCATGTAAGAAATATGAAGTTCAAGCTAGGCCCGACCGAACAACACATAATTTCCTCTTATATTTTTTTACTTTATTTAGCTATGCTTTTACTGCTGAGAAACGTTCAGTCTGTACTCCCAAATACCAAACTTCATCTAAATTCATTTAGCATTTTCATCCCATGTAAGTGTCCACTTCGTGCATTTAACGCAAAAATTTAGAATAAATATTAACGAACAGCATCAGCTAATAGGGGGGGATTTCTCGGTCACATGTAAACCGCCCACCTTTGTCAGAGTGGGCCTTGTGCCGCTCGGTCACTGGGACCGTGGGTTCGAATCCCACTCAAGCCATGGATGTTTGTCCGCGTTGTCCTGTGTACAGGTAGAGGCCTTGCGACGGGCCTATCCCTCGTCCAAGGAGTCCTACCGAATGTCTATAGATCAAGCCAACGAAAAGTTGGGACCCGCAGTGCTCAGGCACTTGAAGAACGGTTCGTTCCCAGTATCCAGTTGTCAGAGTACTGCATCGAGGAGGAAGTTAATGCCAGTATCGTTCTGTTGATTCCTTTATTGAATATGCTTGTATGCCTGAAGACTCAGGTCTCTTCTTTCGTTAACACAGAGGTCGCAGACTCGATTCTTGGTCCATATGCTAGATATCCTGGTTTTATTCATGGCTTACTCAGTCCCTCCTGGCCAATGCTTTGATAGAACCCTAAAATAGACTACAACCGCTTCCTTCGACATCCTTTCAAATTCATCATTCACAATAACGTTTACTTTGATGACACTGGTATGCAGTTCGGTTATTTCGCTAGTGTCGCCCCCACAACAGAAGATTGCACCGCCGCTATGTTGGTATTATTGATGGCCGAAAATTAAAAGTCTCAAACACCAGTTGGCCTCTGCTGGCATACGGAGCTTCACAGAATTCACTGAATTAGATGTTACTGGCGAAGACATGATCGCATGTCCTTATAAATTGAGAAAACTGGGTTGGGAGTCTCCAATACTTGTGAAATTATTTATTTTGGATTACCATTCACACAAAAGTAACAGCGGAATTATGAACCAAATTTACTTGAGCTCAGTCATATTATTAAGACAATAAATTTGTTAATACCTTACATGGGCATTGCGAAATTAACGAAAGTTAAACAGGGTGTACTGTTCAGTAGCTGTACTTACTATAGCGGTTTAAGAAGAATATTTAACGCTTCTCAAGAAGAAACGGACCAATATTCCACTACAAACTATCAAAATCATCATAAAGAGCAACATGTTTATGATAAACAGAATTTGTATTCCCATTCATCCTCCTTGGCTGTAGTTTATTCGATCTTCCTGAACCTCACTCCATGTTCCAGACAACCTGACATCTTAACATGTAGTGCGGTGTACGGTTCATGCCAGGAAAGTTTTGGGCAAGACTGTACAAATTTGGAGATAGGGTCGCCGGCGTCCTGGTGGGATGTAATTGCTATCGTGGGATGGGAGATCCCTGGTTACTTACAGGGGCCATCGAACGCGTAGCCAGTTGATTGGTCTGTCGCCTCCAATGGAGACCACGGCTATTGCTGGAGCATGTGAAGTTTATCACTTCACGTCCTGAATATTTCACTGCGAGTTTTGGTACAAGTGGCAAATTCAATCCGGTCACAGGCCATATTTGGTGGTTGCTAACCAAACAGGAATTGATTTAGACTTTCACAGTTTCCGTAATTTTAGAACAAAATTTCCGACGTGAAATTCGATCAGAATTCGTTGTTGCTTAACATCTGCTATATGCATGCATCTAAATTAACACAGAAGGGTAGACAGGCACACCAATCAATTATAAAGCAAGTTTGTAATCTATTACCAATATCAAAAAGACTTCCTTGTAGTGTGGATTCTTATGACATTATTTCTGAAAGCAATATCAGTAACACGAATAGTTTATATTACCATTTTCTTGACAGAAGGGACACGAGATAAAAAGATGCCATTAAAGTATTAATGCAGTAACGGCTAAAAACGTGATTACTTCAGAGTACAACCCACGATATTTGATAGAAGCCAACGTAAAATAAAACCTATGTCACTGCCTTAAGTTGACGGTTGGGGTTACCATTGGATAAACTAAAGGGGTTGGGGGATTTTACAAGAATAAATTAATTTCAGACACTGGCAGTTTCTATCGTATAATATAAAAGGCATAATATAAACACATATTAAAAGAATATCTGACCGACAGAACACTTTACTTACGAAACCACTTAACGGATTTTGAGGATTTAGTACTGGGGTACAACACTGAACGTTGTTGGGTATATATAATTTTGGACAGTATCGATCCAATGAGTCTGTCATCTCCCAAATTTTCAAGAGTCTCAAATCAAACTTTGTCATTTTTCTTAGAAATGGTTCACAGAAAAAACTGGATACAAATAAAATATAATCTAATCAGAATCTGAAGATTACCGTCTTCTGGGTTGTTGCGCTGTGTAGTCTGGTCGATGTTAACCAACGTTTCAGAGGTCATACTGCCTCCGTCATCAGGGCGATGAATCAGAATCTATAACTGTGATTTGAAACATTTTAATGTTGTGGATATTTAATTCTCTGAAGCCAAAACTTATCTACACAATACTTCAACATTCAGTCTTTATTGCAAAGAAAACACGACATTAGACCATTCGGCCCTAATGTTTGTCATTTAATAATGAACTCGCATAAATTTGTCGAATGCCACATAATCTACGTCATATTCAGATAAACCTGAAGACTGGCAGCAAATACAAAAGAAATTTGTTTAGTGCTGTAGCTTAAATTTATGAGAAAGAATTTTGTTTCACAACAAAAATACTCAAATAAGTTGTTTGTTGGTAAAATAAAATTATAGACATATTTCGTTGGTGAACTTTTGATGGTGAACAAACAAACAAATCTCGAATTAGACTATAAGATTATAATTAAAATTAGTTGGAAGTTCTCAATATAACAAACTTTGCAGTCAACATCTCTTAAGTACATCTTAATTCTTAATTTTTATGATTTAATTAGTTTATTAAGTTGTCAGTTTAAAATAACATTTAGGGCCTGCCTGTGCCGACCACATGTGCCGTAAACCAATCGATTTAGAATGATAAGTAAATAAGTGACGTCTCCGTCTCTCATGTATGGGGAAACAAAACCAGTTTTGCTGCTTCTAACTTTGGTATTGCGTTTGATACAAGACTTCTGTTTTAAAAATCAAGAATACAAGACACGAAAATGTTATTAAAGTTTAATTCTAGAAAATCCCTTGCAAAAATGTGGCGCTTTTGCTATTGCATGTATACATTCGCACACGTCGACCTGCGTATATCTTCCGAAAATCTGTGACTAGTTACGGTTCGTGAGGATGTGACATTTGGCGGTGAAAACGCATGTACAAGAACAAGAATGTATAGAATGCATCGCGGGACAGGTATTAAACCTCCCAAACCAACTGAAGGACATTTAAAAGATCCGGAAATATGATTATAAAATAAACCTTCTAGGTCAAAGACTTTCGTAATGCAATTTAGAGAGATGCGGTTAGACACTGAGAAATAAATCACTCATAATTAGTTATAAAATAAACATTTTTTGTTAACGTTCTAACCGCACCCGTGTTACGACCGAACACAACGGTAGCAATGTCGTCAGAATCTGGAAGCGGTTAATTCTATGGGCCATTCACACAAACAACATTCCTCAGCCTTCTCAGAAGAGTTTCTGTCAAGAGCAGCTTCAATTTTGCCGTGCTATAGCTACGTGTCTTCGAATTAGTAGCGTTTAATCGAACCTCTCCAGATTTCATTCTGCAGGTTGGGCCTACCGCTTTCAACCCCAGGCCATAAAAAAGAAGTCAGTTTTTGTCGAGTAGCCATTCATCGATCAAGGCAGGTAACTAACTAACTAGATGGCTTACGGAACCCGAATGTTCATCACCGAATTAACCAAAGCCCTCCAACGTAATTCAGTCTCCTTCAACTCCTAATTCCGATAGAACCCACCTGATATTATCCTCCCATCTATGTCTAGATCTCCCCAGAGGTCTCTTCCCCTCAGACTTCCCAACCAATACTCGGTGAACACATCTTGCCCCATCCGTGCGTGCCACATGACCCGCCCATCTCATTCTTCTTGACTTAATGACCCTGACAATACTGGGGGAGGAGTACAGATTTTTAAGCTTTGATCAGGGAAGGTAAGGAGATAAATACGGAAAACAAAAACTTTCAATTGATATATCTTCTTTTCCTCATTCCTTTCTTCTTCGCATTCTCTGTCTTCACTTTCTTCAGCTTTTTGCAATTGGTTTATCGACGAGAAATGAGTTCCGAACGGAAATCTTAAAAAGTACTTAAATAACATAAAACTGCACAATGTACGAGTGTTTATGCAGACACAACACATGCATTAAAACACGCACAGACTCGAAATTCTGTATGGTCCTCGCATCAATACTCGTCTGTCTTGGCTACCAAAAAATGTATGTCTAGCGCATTACAGTGCTTGGTCTATTAGTCAGATATTCTTCTTTCAAAACTTTAGTGTAATTACAATTACGTCTTATTTGTTTTACTGTTTATTATTCAAGATATTTCAACTTACATTCATCATAGTAGAGATCATATTTGATCACTGGATAAACTGCATTCAGAACGTGTCTTATCTAAGATTTACGGTCGTGTTCTTTAAGCGACACCAATCAATTCCGTGGGCTTTGAAATAGATCCCCGAAGCTCACTGTGACGAAGCATGAAGGCGAAACGAAAGACGCCAAGCACATGGCTGAAGGCGGGTGGGAGAGCTGAGAGCTGTGTCAATGCCATGCCCGGAACGTATGTCCGTCCTGGATGGCTTCCATCCTTTTGTTTCTTTATTATTACCTGACTCCCTCTCCTTCAGTAGACCCCACCATGGAACACGTTTCTCCATCAACTGCTTCATCTTCTTACGAGTATGTGTTGCCGAAGTTGAAATATTCAGGCCATTGTGATCAAACCTGGGGAGTTTATAAGCGGAGCTGCAACGAGTGAATCTCAGCATTCCATCAGATACTACAACACTAGCAACATGAAGCGGCAGGTGAGTGAACTTCTACTAATTATCCATCATCATCTTCACCAATCTTTACTGGCAAGATTCGTAAGATGTCAAGATATTATGTCAAAACCTTTTATCCCCATTCTGCTACTGTTCTCTGTTTAGTCTTGCATAGAGGGCGCTCTGAATGCAAGATGACGTGAGATTTGCATTTGAAGGTATACTATTTTAAACTCAGTGTCTGTTTCAGATTTTTCGAAAAGTGGATTTTTAATTAGGAGAGAAAGATAATGTATGGTTATTTCAATAAACATAGTACATTAAAACAAATACAGAAACCTGAACCCATAATTGGCATTATTAATTTATTTCGTATTCAGAAAAGTCGTATAAAAATGGTGGTGAAGGACTTTTAGCCGAATCATACAAGATCCAATAAAAATCACGAAATTAAGTAACCATTCTTCAAATAATTATTTTAAAAACCTAAAACAAAATTTTGTTGTCAGACTAGAAATTTAAAAATAATTTCTTATTTATAAAATCTATTTTTCTGTCTAGATAACGGACGAATGTATTTATAAAATCGTATTCAGTAACAAGATAAAATTTTTAACAGACCTTTTTTCATAAAGTCCTGTAAAATTTCGTTACTATAAAAATAAAAACAATATTATTTTAAAAATAGTGTCAATATTAATACTAGTCAGCCCAACTAAGTTTCATATCGTGTAAAAAGTTACACGGTTACACATACTTTGCCTTTCTCTTTAAGACACTTCAGATGTATTGAATGTGATCATCGTATCATAATTTAAATATCCTGTCCCCTATATCAACAAATAATTTTAAAGTTTAAGCAATTCTAAGACATGACAAACACTGTCATTTGGATGCATACATTAAGGTTTTATGGTGCATTTGTATCCATTGGCCCATTTATAAACTAAAATATTTTGGCTTCTGAAGTGGTCATATTGAATAAACAATGACTGACCAAGAGAAAGAAGGCTGTATTTGCAGCCAAAAGAAAAGTTTTGTCCGAATTTAAAATCGAAATTTTAATCAGTAAGAACTGTGTATGAAGTGAACTCACGCATAGGAAATCCCAATTGTGTAATACGGCAAAACTGTTCTTAAGGCCAGACAGATATATTGAATATTTGTTGCTAGATAGCTATAATCTTAGTGATTCCTAATTCAGTCTCCTTCAACTCCTAATTCCGATAGAACCCACCTGATATTATCCTCCCATCTATGTCTAGATCTCCCCAGAGGTCTCTTCCCCTCAGACTTCCCAACCAATACTCGGTGAACACATCTTGCCCCATCCGTGCGTGCCACATGACCCGCCCATCTCATTCTTCTTGACTTAATGACCCTGACAATACTGGGGGAGGAGTACAGATTTTTAAGCTTTGATCAGGGAAGGTAAGGAGATAAATACGGAAAACAAAAACTTTCAATTGATATATCTTCTTTTCCTCATTCCTTTCTTCTTCGCATTCTCTGTCTTCACTTTCTTCAGCTTTTTGCAATTGGTTTATCGACGAGAAATGAGTTCCGAACGGAAATCTTAAAAAGTACTTAAATAACATAAAACTGCACAATGTACGAGTGTTTATGCAGACACAACACATGCATTAAAACACGCACAGACTCGAAATTCTGTATGGTCCTCGCATCAATACTCGTCTGTCTTGGCTACCAAAAAATGTATGTCTAGCGCATTACAGTGCTTGGTCTATTAGTCAGATATTCTTCTTTCAAAACTTTAGTGTAATTACAATTACGTCTTATTTGTTTTACTGTTTATTATTCAAGATATTTCAACTTACATTCATCATAGTAGAGATCATATTTGATCACTGGATAAACTGCATTCAGAACGTGTCTTATCTAAGATTTACGGTCGTGTTCTTTAAGCGACACCAATCAATTCCGTGGGCTTTGAAATAGATCCCCGAAGCTCACTGTGACGAAGCATGAAGGCGAAACGAAAGACGCCAAGCACATGGCTGAAGGCGGGTGGGAGAGCTGAGAGCTGTGTCAATGCCATGCCCGGAACGTATGTCCGTCCTGGATGGCTTCCATCCTTTTGTTTCTTTATTATTACCTGACTCCCTCTCCTTCAGTAGACCCCACCATGGAACACGTTTCTCCATCAACTGCTTCATCTTCTTACGAGTATGTGTTGCCGAAGTTGAAATATTCAGGCCATTGTGATCAAACCTGGGGAGTTTATAAGCGGAGCTGCAACGAGTGAATCTCAGCATTCCATCAGATACTACAACACTAGCAACATGAAGCGGCAGGTGAGTGAACTTCTACTAATTATCCATCATCATCTTCACCAATCTTTACTGGCAAGATTCGTAAGATGTCAAGATATTATGTCAAAACCTTTTATCCCCATTCTGCTACTGTTCTCTGTTTAGTCTTGCATAGAGGGCGCTCTGAATGCAAGATGACGTGAGATTTGCATTTGAAGGTATACTATTTTAAACTCAGTGTCTGTTTCAGATTTTTCGAAAAGTGGATTTTTAATTAGGAGAGAAAGATAATGTATGGTTATTTCAATAAACATAGTACATTAAAACAAATACAGAAACCTGAACCCATAATTGGCATTATTAATTTATTTCGTATTCAGAAAAGTCGTATAAAAATGGTGGTGAAGGACTTTTAGCCGAATCATACAAGATCCAATAAAAATCACGAAATTAAGTAACCATTCTTCAAATAATTATTTTAAAAACCTAAAACAAAATTTTGTTGTCAGACTAGAAATTTAAAAATAATTTCTTATTTATAAAATCTATTTTTCTGTCTAGATAACGGACGAATGTATTTATAAAATCGTATTCAGTAACAAGATAAAATTTTTAACAGACCTTTTTTCATAAAGTCCTGTAAAATTTCGTTACTATAAAAATAAAAACAATATTATTTTAAAAATAGTGTCAATATTAATACTAGTCAGCCCAACTAAGTTTCATATCGTGTAAAAAGTTACACGGTTACACATACTTTGCCTTTCTCTTTAAGACACTTCAGATGTATTGAATGTGATCATCGTATCATAATTTAAATATCCTGTCCCCTATATCAACAAATAATTTTAAAGTTTAAGCAATTCTAAGACATGACAAACACTGTCATTTGGATGCATACATTAAGGTTTTATGGTGCATTTGTATCCATTGGCCCATTTATAAACTAAAATATTTTGGCTTCTGAAGTGGTCATATTGAATAAACAATGACTGACCAAGAGAAAGAAGGCTGTATTTGCAGCCAAAAGAAAAGTTTTGTCCGAATTTAAAATCGAAATTTTAATCAGTAAGAACTGTGTATGAAGTGAACTCACGCATAGGAAATCCCAATTGTGTAATACGGCAAAACTGTTCTTAAGGCCAGACAGATATATTGAATATTTGTTGCTAGATAGCTATAATCTTAGTGATTCCGTGCATCCATTATCCATGCAGAACAGCCTTTCTTGAAAAGCTAATCGTCGCTCACCTAGTCTACAAATTCTTCACTTTTATATAACCCCAAGCTTCATTGCGATACTGACAAAAACCTTATCTTGGACCAGACAAATACACTTTATATATCCTATTTCTTTAATATGTCGTCCCTTCAGTGTTACATTGTACGTTCTGACGATGACGTATGGCGTGTGAATATGGCATAGTCTGTTAGAAATTTACCAACTTTTCACAGATGTTATTGCCTCCATTATCAGGGCGACGATAGGGGCAGCAAGCACCTCTGAAACGTAAGACTTGAGGTTCTCACAGCGGTGAGTATGAAGATTTCTGTCTTCTGGGTTATTGCGCTGTGTAGTCTGGTCGATGTTTACCAACGTTTCAGAGGTCATACTGCCTCCGTCATAAGGGCAGTATGACCTCTGAAACGTTGGTTAACATCGACCAGACTACACAGCGCAACAACCCAGAAGACGGAAATCTTCACCTCTGAAACGTTAGTCTTGTTCTACCAGGCTACACAGCGTAACATTCCAAAGACAGACAGCTTCAACAGAAGAAAACGCCGTTTCTTTTAAACAATTCCACTATAATAGGAAAGAATTCCCGTTCCAGAAACATTTCATACTTTTTAAGTCTCCAGACGGAAGTCGACCGTTAAAAATTTCCGATGGCTTCACAGTGTCAGACTAACGTAACAGGCATGAAAACGTCTGTCTTGCATACACATTGCGTCTGCTACCACTGACAAACCTCGTTGGCAACATTTACAAATCATTTGTAAAGGTTCATTGCGTTAGCTTCACTTTGTCGAAACAAATGTCACGCTTCGTTGCGATATCTATCAGAAGACTGTGAGTTGTAATCATGTTCATAATGCATAACGCCTTCTCTGTTTAGTTACAACTGAGAAAATGCCATATCAACACAATATATTTCATCGCTCTCCCCATAACACGACCCCTTCATAAACCGTGTATAAAAATCATCAGCATAATTGGCACGAAGAAGAGTATACGGTTATAGATTTCGACAACAATTCGCGGAAATTTTATGGACCTAATTCACAATAATTCTATAAACAATTACAGGTCTATTTTGACAGACAATCGTCAAGTACTTATGGATCAAGTTTGGCAAAGATTAACCAAATAGCTCTGAATCTATTCTCATAGACAATGTGTAAATAATCACAGGCGTGTTTTGACCAAATACGTCGAATTTTAGGATTTAATTTTAATAAATATTCATCTTGACAAAAAATCTATTTTACAAACAATTACCACACACCAAGGACACACTTCTGCAAAGATTAATGGAAGAGTTAATATGTTTAGATAAAGATCACGCAAAATTTTGTCAATCTATGACGTCGATCACTCACACATCTGATTCTAAAAGAATTCGTCAAATAATTCTGGATCGTATTTTCATATAAATTTCATTCAGTTATAAGTTTGTTTTAAAAGCAAGTCTTGTCAGTTGTGAAGGTATTTTGGCAAAGCGTCGCTAGGCAGTTATGAATAAAATTTCACAAAATTTTGAACATTTACACACTGGTGGCCGAATAGTGGATACGCGTACAGTAGAGACTCAGAATTCATATCTTGGTTTAGGTTACGTCTTCCACAGCCGATATAACTCCAGTACCAAATCGACAATCTATTACCGTCGACTTTCACAAGACTCGGCATGTTACTGACCCTGTGGCGGGAGTGGCGCGTGTTGCATAATCCTCCTGTGTTGCAGAGTTCCACAACAAAGGGTCTGGCACTGGGGGTGACCTTGACAGTCCTGTTGCTGCAACTGGCTTCAAGCCAGGCCGCACCTCATCACACCCACCAGCAGCAGCAGCTTCTTTACTACAACCACGTGACACCCCCACAGCAACGGCAGTCAGCCAACGTGGTCATCTTGCCTGGCAACGGCGCTGGGTAAGTTCCGGCCTTCGGTCACCCTGATGTTGTTCTGGCTTGTAACGCCGTGTGGTCATGCAGGAAGAAACAAAAGTTTCGAAGGAACGTACTGCTTCTACCTTTAAGGCATTTCTCCCGAAACACTGGTATCCTGCCCTGCCGGGAATCCACCCCTGGTAGACCAGCCTGTAGCCAATCATTACAATGTGATACACCGACTGTTGTACAAATTATTGTTGTTAGAATAGCAGCACAACGTCATAAACAGTACAATGACCCACCATTAACAGAAGAGATTTGCGTATTGTTGTAATCAATCACTGCAGCTTATGAAATTTCCTTCTAAATAACGATCGATGTCTTAGACTTGCTCAGACACTTACATAAAACGAGCTTATTTAGGAGCCGCAGTTGATAAGGTACCCTTGGGTGACACTGTCGTGTCAGTACAACTGTCTTAAGTCATAACTGGTCCCTTAACGAAACAGTTCGCAAGTTTCTGTCGGGTAGAGTGCTTGCAAGATCAAAGGGGGTCAGAAGATGCAGTGTCTGATATCTCAATGAGGCAGTCTGGGTGTTGCAGTATCCAACAGTTCGCAGCTGCTGGCGTCCCGCTGCCAGTGGGTGGTCAGTACCTGCTAGTGCAGCCCGGCGCCAACCCAGTCCTCTACGTAACTAGAACTGAGACGGGCGACAAACCTGTTGGCGGTAACGAGGATAAACGTGAAAGTTTTCTTTCGGGGATTTTCAGCAACTTACAAAATTTACCCAGCCTTCTACCTATCCCGGGAATTGGGTCGAGTGAGACAAACAAAACTGACACGCAAGGAACAGAGAAACCTGCTGGCTTCGACAAACCCGATAAGGTAAGCAGTTCCAGCTCCAATTTCCGTTACACGGAACAAATCCATGTATAGAAACAAGCAGCCATTGAACCACGAAAATAACCAAGGGAGCCATGCGGCGCCTTATTTATTCACATGTAGATTTTGACCTTAGCTCTTAAATTCTTGAAACAGCAACGTCTTCGTACCCCAAGCACAAAACTCTGAATAGCGAAAACATTATAGACACGAGCTTCAGAATTTAAGGTTCTTACGTCTGAGGAATAAATTTCGTTTGTTCGTGTTACACTGGACCGATATGACAAAAATCACGTACTCCTGGTAACGTCCAGCGTGGACATCAAATTCTAAAACAACTGTAAAAAAACTCTGTACCTAAGACCCAATTTATTATTATCATCCCATATCGTTCTTGGTCTTCCAACAAGATTCCGCATTAAAATTATGTATTAATTTTATTCTGTTGTAATTTAATTCTGTATTAATTTAATTCCTGCCCATCACAGCACATATAAACCTTTTGTATTTACTATTATTAGGCTTATTTTTATGTGCTTGTCTGTAACTGGCAGTTTGTCTTAGTAATTTTTCGGAATTCATTCATCGTAACGTTATCATCACCACTAAAAGTATGTGTACTGCTGATTGTTTTAATCGGATTCTCAGCTTCTCACATCATAAATCAACCTAAAATTCACTCTCGTCTCCGAAAGGCTCGAAGTAAACCAGTTTAACGCCTACTGCTCTTCCCGCAGCCCATAAAAGTGGAGGAAGGACAGACATCCTCATCAGCAGAGAGTTCGGAGAAACAATCGGCATCGCTGGAGAAATTCGACGAGGACGCTCCAAGCTCCAAACCTACCGCCCCTGCTGTTCCCACCTTTATACCTGCCCCTGGCCAAAGATTTGTCGTCGTCGGTCAACCTCAGTTCTTCGGAAATTTCGATGCTCTCAGAAACCACGCCGTACGACAAGAACTGGGCACTAACGGCGCAGTTTCCAGTTTCCTGCTACTAAAGAACCAAGAAGTTATTCCTCTAGCGTCTGCAGCCAACGGAAAGCTTCAAGAAGAGGCTGGAAACTCAGTGGCTCAGGTTCCTGGTGCAAGTGCCCTAGAATTTCAGAAGTTCCTCAGCGTAGCAAAGCAACGGCAGACACAAGACGACGTAGCCAACGTTGCTTTCGCGCCTCTGCGCTACCAGAACGTTGTGTACGTCGCTAGGCAACCACCTCAACAGAACCCTGCTGCCAGCTCAGCAGAAGATTCAGCGTCTATAACAGTAGACGCTCTGAAAATAAAGTCACATGTGAGGAAGGAAGGTGAAGAAGGAGCTGATGACTCAGAAGACATTGAGGCGAATCCTCCAGGTCCATCAGTGGCTCAGGTGACACCTCAGGCAATTGCCTTAGCAGGACCTGGAGGAGTAGCTTCAGCGGCACCAAGAGGCACGGCCGTGGTGGGACCTGGAGGGCTGGCCATGGCGGCTCCCTCTGCAACTGCAGTGGCGGGGCCCTCTGGGGGAGCACCGCCGCCTCCTGGAGCTCACGCATCAGCAGCTCTTAGTTCCCCCGCCGCATACAAGGCGTATCTGTTGGAGCAACAGGCAAAGGGTTCCTACCCTTTTGGTTCCTATCACGTGGCATATAATGCCTAAGCTTGACAAAATTAACAGCAGGTCATTGCTAAAATAGGGAAAAGACCACACAGCAGTATTCTCCAATTTCGTGTGGAGAGAGTGGTTTGAGTTGTATTTCAATGTCTTTGTTGTGTTAACATTTTGTCTAATCGTCCCTCTTCAAAGTAAAGAGTGTTCGGTATATCTGTGGTCCGATCGCCGTAAAGGCAAATCTCCGAAACAGCGCCAATATATTGCTGAAAACCGGATAATCTGCAAACTATGAATTAACTTTGAAGGACATTCTTTATCTATCTTAAAAACTCTTTAATTAAGTATCTAAAATTTTAAAATAATCCACAGCGAATTATGAGATGATACCTTGAAATAACAGTTCAGTTTAGTACGACACGTCTGTCAGTAAAGTGAGTAAATATGTAGAGGACGCTGGGGTTCGATCCCTGACAAGCGTGGGGTTTTTGTCTTCAGCTTTAAGTCCATACCAGTTCCAAGACTCTCCATTGCAAATACGGGCTTAAGCAGGTAACTATGGGGGAAATATTCTGTAGTTTAGTCTTCTATTTACGAAAATAAGTTGGTGGACGCTCGTCCAAAACGTTATTGGAGATTGATGCCTTTCCATGATAGATTTTGTGAATATTACTTTCACAGAAGATGTCAGACCTCATTAGTATTATTAAAATAACAAGATTTCGTAATCGTGCTTAAAAAGGAAGTTTGATCTCAGAAAGCTTGCTGCTAAATTTATCTGTTTCTAAGCAGATGTATGAAGCTTTGGCCTCATAGTGGCCTACAAATAAATTCATTATATTTATAATTAAACCTGTTAAATATTTTTGGTTCTATTTATTGTAATGGCAAAAATATGCCAAATAAATCACGAAGACTGCTTCCAGACATTATTGCATAACCTTCGTTATTAAAACAATAAAATATTTGGTAGTATATTTCATGTGCTCTTTATTTTTAACTTCTTTCCTCAGTTTTATTTTACTTCAATATTCACATACAATTTATTATAGCTGATACCTTATTCCTCAATTATCAAATTTCTTATGTAACCTCGTACAGCTCGCTGAACAGAACAGAGGCTTAAGTAATTCTAAGTGGACTTTGCCTGAATCTTAAAAGTTATTGTGGCTGTAAAATTAAGATTAAATGGTACATAACGACTCCTGTTTATCTAACATCGCATTAAAACTAACTTCAAAATTAATTTCCACTTATTATTATTTCGGGCTGGCAGAAATTATTTTGACAACAACAAACGTGTTTAGAATATATATAACCCAGTGTACCTGTTACGTTATACTGATTGCATGATTTTATTTGAAGACTTTGAATAAAGCACCACATTTTAATAAGGTTATAACTTGGAAATAATTTGTCTTACTTTCCTTAGTTATTACAATGAGCTGCTTTTGAGAAAATGTAAAAATTCGATGTACTACGCATTTCACTGAGCTGATAAGTAACTCCACAGAGTAGAAGTCTTTTTGCAATCCTATCAAGAAATTATCTGCCTTGAAAATAATCCGAAGAATCATTCCTGTGCTCAAAAAAGCCGACACTTGTCAGGTATGGAATAAAACTGAACATGTTTGACAACATTTCGTGTATACTAAAAACCAAATTTGGTCAGACTTCTCCGGGTAGTACAGAAGATAGAACCTACGGACGGACACACAGACTTGCCTATTATGTTTATTTTACGCAACTGATACAAAAAAAATTCTCAAACAGATTTAAAGATTAATTTACTGCCTATTATGTTCCTTATGTGTAGAGCCTCGTATAAAGTATTCTGTGTCAGGATGACATCGGTTTGTGAAAATCAAAATCGATTTTTTCTCAAACAGATTTAAAGATTAATTTACAGTTGTTAGTAGCAAAAGTTCAGGAAGAGTATCATTAGAAACAAGTGAAGATAGAGTTAAGTTTAAATTATTACTTTACATTTCCTGGCCATTCATTCGACTCACGTCACTACCATTTCACTGCAGTTCCATGCATTGCGTTTTTAATAGTTCGTATCATTAATAATTTTATAATAAAATTTATTTTCGAAACTTAATGTTAACACGTGTATATCAGAGCCCTATCTTGCATATCTAATATCTGGTACAATATCTTTAATGTGAGATTTTCCATAGGAGAAGGCAATCATTGTTTAAATTCGCCCCCTTCCTCCAGGAATTTTAGTTCCTTGAAACAAGCTTGAAAAGAACCGTTCTAACTTCATCATGCGGTAATATACAAGTAGACAACGGTACGTAGTCTCCATTGGTTCATGGCAACAGTAAGTGACGATGTCGAAACAAGAAAAAAGATATGGAAAAGGTTTTTAAAAAGGGTCAACACAAACAGACGCTATAAAAACCAACCTAACAGTGGATTCTCCAGTCTAAGCCAACGGTTATAAACGAACAAACACATGAAATCGTCGTATTCTTTGATTCGCCGCGTGAACACCAGGAGCTGTGAGACATGGACCTTCAGCCCAGATTTATACAGGTGGGGTGCAGCCAGTACTGAAAATCATACAGAATAACAATATAATTCCTTCAGCTCCTGATTTTAATTTAACAACGCTGTTTACACTGCATGATTTCTAGTCTTGACTTCGTGCTGTTAAAATTGGTTAACTGGGAAATGTACAATGCATGGGAAAAATTACAAATTTTAAGACAATTTTAGTCGAAAAGCCTCAAAGGACGAGACATGAGCCATGAACTTAGTTTAACTGGACTTTAAAAAGTACAAGGCCTGCTATACCGAGTTCTTAGGATAAAATTGAATAACTTCTATTAATTATAGATTTCTAAGTTAAATAAGTTAAATTTAAGTAAATAGCCATCAAGAATGAACAATGCAAGCGAGCGAAATATAACCCTATAAATCACTCCTACAGTAGCAGCAGTAGTAATAGTAGTAGTAGTAGTAGTAGTAGTCTTTACTTTAATGTGATAACTCAACAGCTACAGAAGCCAATTACAGAGTCAGCACAAAAAATAATAATAATAACACATCTATTCTGGATAAAGTCGTCCTGATATGGTAACAATCATGGCGAAATTTACGAGTATTTTCTTGTTGTTCTCAAATCGAGTTCTAACAAGTAATCTGCTAATAACATCTCGAGGCACAGCGATGACCCAGGCTTATAAGGCAAACATATCCTAACCGGTACGCTGAATATAGCGGCACTCACATGAGTAATGGCTGTACACACTCCTCCTGACTTTGAACCTGAAGCGGTTATTACGAGAGGTAAAAGAAATATTTCCTGTTGTTACTTGCAAGATTTTTTCTGAAATTATAGACCTTGCTGAACGTGATGCTTCTCGTGGCAAACCAATCTATCCCGTTACATAACCTCTAACAAGGCCTTCTCTTCGTAATTTAACATCAATTGCCTACGTCAAAAAATAAACCGGGTGTCTAAATAAGTACCATAAATGACAGGGAAGTTTCAAGAAATCAAACTGATCGCAATGTCCCAGTAAACACAGATCTGACCATTTTTATGGGGGCAATATACATGTCCGTCTGCAGGTTTCATACGAAACAAATTTATGTTACAAAAATTAGCGGTCAGGAGTAAACATAATCAGGTGAATTTAATTTTGATTCCTTCCGCCGAAAGCAGGCGCTACTTTACACGAAACACAAATCAAACTTTAATTAATTTATAAAAACTGCACAATAAAAGTAATGAACACATTACTTGAAATACAGTTCTCAAGAAATTTGGTAAGACCACTGAATAATTAGTGTCAAAAACTAAGAAGCTACTTGACGTAAGGAATTCGACTGAAACAAATAAGGGTAACAAGAAACACACAAAAGTTTGGTTATACAACTTAACACAAGACACAGATGTAGATGGGAGGATAATATTAAAAATAACCCATGAAAATAGGTTTGTATTCGTAAATGGAATTGGACTAGCTCAGGAAAAGTCGAATAGTAGAATATTATGTTGATGATGATGAAGTTACATTTAGTTCTACGACAATTTGTTTTATTGAATACTGTCCTTGCATGAATTGGTGCGCACTTCCTTTCCCGTCCAAATACATCCTAAAAACCGAATACTATCGTTCATACTGAAAGGTTACCAAAAACATTAAATGCATACATAGTTGTAACCTACATTTAGAAACAACTCAATAATTTCTAAACAGCTAACGCAAAAATTCTTCTTAAGTTTAAAATTATGGTACTTATTTCTGGAAATTATTATCGGAGCAAATACTGTACTCATCTACCGAATAAACAAATATAAACACAGGAGTCTTGTTTCCAGATGCTGCAGCTACTGGTAGCCGTGGCTCTCTGCGTTCCATCGACAACTGCGCAACATCTGATAGCATTTTTTGTTGTTCAACAGCCTCCTGCAGTAGTGACACTTAACAGGTAACAGTGTTACATCCAGATGTTCAACTTCATGTCGAACATGGGGTCCAGAACTACTTTCAGATTGTAAAGTTGGAATCAAAATATATTTCATAGTAAACATCTTTCTGGCATATTGCGTTATGTAGTCTCGTAAAGTTGGCCAAAGTTCCAGGGGTGCGTACTCTTCATCATGAGAAATCGTCCTGATGGGGGCAGAAAGGTCCTCTGAAACGTCGGTCAATATCTACAAGACTACACGGCGCAACATTCCACAAGGCAGCCATCTTCATACTCGTCGCCCTGAGAAACTGAAATCTCACAGGGAAATGAAATCTAGGGCTCCATAAAAATAGGGAGTTTTCTGATCAACTCAGTAACAATCCAGATTTAAAGAAGGATCTTGAACCATGGAGTTAGTTAATCTTAAAGCATTGATGAAATTTTAATCGAGACTGTGGTTAAGTTTTACATGTAGCTAACACCTGAACCGAATTTCTACACCATCTGTTATTCTTGGCAGCGTTCCGGTGTCCGCCACTCACATTAAGCTAGGCCCACACCCACTGTCAACTGGAGGTGCAGTCGTAGCACCAGGAACGCTTAGCACAGCGGCTCTCATTGGTCCAGTCAACGTAGAGAGCATTGTTCCAGCACCAACTGACATTCAGAATCTACCACATCTGGGTGCACATCAAATAGATCCAGACGCTTCCACTACCGGCGTTCCCATACCAATTCCACTGAAACTGTTCTTTACACGTTTCCCGCCATTTATTGAAACAATCGTTCAAAAAATTCAAAATTATTTTTCTACTTACAATCACGCAGAAAGTGAGAATAATCTAGCTTCGCCACCGTATAATACGCCACTGCAAACAACGACGACGACTACGCCAGCGCCGATGTCTGCAACAATGATTGAGTTGCCCTCCACAACAATTACCTCGCCCCTTCCTCCAAATACAGGATCAGAGCCTGGAAATCGCGACCAAACAGATGATGACACTTCGCCGCCCCCATCCTTCACTGAACCGGAGGACAATAAGTGGTAGGCTACATCCATTGGTGTACAACTCTTTCATATCCAAAAAGCAGGTTTCCAGAGATTCACACATCAAGACTATTATTAACCACCACCATGATTTATATTTTGTGCAGTTAGGTTTAAATTATATATTGATTTAATTTTATTGACAAATACACTTCTAAATTTCACACAATGTTTTAACGTCGTAAATCTTATTTCCAATTCCTTTTGTCAATCTGGTAACTGAGTTTCCACTTAATTGTTTTAAAAATACGTAAAAAAAGTCTCGTAATAACTCAGCTAACAATGACGTAACAGTATGCGTTCTGATGATGTGGAATTTTAGTACTGGAAAAGTAGTCCGTACTAAATGAAAAATAAAGCTCACGATTTCGAAACACTCGAGGACAGAAGTTCTAGAGAAATTCCTAACGTTTGTCCTCATCGCAATGCATATGACATCAAAGTGTAAAGTATTTTGTCTCCGATTACAAAAGAACATCTACAACGTGTTTAACCCATTTGACTTTTTCTTCAAGCAAAAACTTTACCTACAATAAGTAATGGTCACCATATACTGTAAAGACGATCAAATCAAACACAATGATATGGGTGGAACAAATGAGATACGCAAGAGTTTAGTCAAGAAGCCTCAAGAAAAGAAACATTACTTGAAAGTTCAAGATATACGTAGATCGGGGTAATATTAAGAATTATCTTAGAGAAATAATGTGTGATGGTGAAGGCTAGATTGAACTGGTTCAGAATAGAATCCAATGCCTGGCTTTCCTATTCACGACCGTGAACGTATGACAGCCTTAAAATCATGACATTCTTTGACCTGTATTTTAATGTTCTATTACCTTCTTAAAATATTTCTTCGTAACCGTTGCATTTTAAATCAACTCTTCAACCTGCAGTTTTATTACGGATTAAAATCAACGTAGCCTCTTCCAGATCAACGCATTATTATTATTATTTAGTGTTCTGTCTGACGACAGGTCCATATGAACAGGATCCTTCCATCCTTTTCTCGGACTTGGACCTGTTCATATACGTTCTTGGCAGATGATCCAGAAGTGGTTTGCCATTGCCTTCTTCTGTGTGTGAATGGAGTAATTGTTGGGATGCCACGGAGAAACCGGGAAAGCCCCCGGAGGAAAACTCCACCGTGGCTCGTGATCAACGCATATGTAAGACAAAGACCTCCTATCTCTTCCTCTGCACCTTCTCAGCCTCTGGATTCCAGTGTCTACGAAGTGACACCTCTGCTGTCGTTTAAAAGGGCAACCATTTACTTATTAGAAGCAGAAGTGAGTCGACAAGATTTTCTTTTCAGCGTGTAAGACTTGGGGAAATTGTCTATAGTATTAGAACTGCTATGTTCAGAACGACTTTTGATTACGGTCATTAGAAGTTAGGCAACTTCCATTAAGTTCAAGCGAAGGTCATTCACCGGGAACAGTAAACTATGTTCCAGGGGTGTTAAAAATCAAGTCACGTCAGCAGTTTATAAAAAGTACGCTTGCAACACCGTCGTGGCCTTGTGTCTATCTTTTATCTATTACTTTTGAACAAAATGGCTAAATTTCATTAGACTTGGAATTTACGTATATGAGAAGCCACCTTGCATTTGTACTTTTAAATATTACTCTCAGCAACATTAACATGTATGTACAAACGTCTGAGGCGGGAGTGATATCGCGACATCTATATATTATCTTGAGATTTGGTGGCGAATAGGATTCTTGACTTCAATATCACTGTCATTTTTTCCACACACTTTTGACAATTTAACAAGATTTAGTTAATACTGAACTACATGTTTCGATCAAAAACGGTCTTCATCAGGCTCGTTTAAATTTTACCCAACCTATTCCACACCTTCAACGGAAATAATAGTTTGTTATGTACATTAGATATTTAATTACACCTATGACAAAACAGTGGACAATATTTTTTATAAAATAATTCATTAGTTGTATGTTAAATTCCCTAAAATGGTTACAGCATGGATTCTTGTGGAGTATGTTTCGTCATCATTGAGGTCTTTCAACTCATTTTCAGAGGTGCAGCTTAATACTTGATTTCCTATCCACTGGTACTCAAACTTCAGACAGACGGAGTTAGGTTTTCCTTATCTATTCATTAAGGACGTCCCTAAAGTTAAATCAAAGAATAGTCACTAACATGAGCAATTACTCTTAATCAAGAATATAACACGCAGTTATAGGCTCGACTACAAGAATAAATAACTAATGCCCTTAAACTCACATTAAAATCAGCAAACCTATTTCTCGTAGATTCACGTTGTTCATACTGTTACGTTTTATAATTCGTAATCAATTTCAACTGTAGACATCTAATGAGACGAGAAGTTAATCGTGCATGATGACTAGGTAAGGATTTAGAAGGAATCAGTTTTTTGTCTATCTGGAAGTTTTATATATTCAACAGAAACTTGCCAGTATCGGGATATTCTCTCGGATCCACAGAGCGAAAACAGTGCCAAATTAGGTAGGATTTGAGGTTTTCACGGTAGGGAGAACGAAGATCGCTGTCTTATCTTCTGGGTTGTTGCATCCTGCAGCCTGGTAGGCGTTTATCGCCGTTTAAGAAGTCCTTGCAACCTCCATCATCAGGACGATGATGGGGGTAGAGAGAGCAAAAACCTCTTAAACAATAGCAAACTTCAACCAGACTACGAAGCACTACAACCTAGAAGACAGTCATCTTGGTGTGGAATTGCATTTAAAAACGAATCCTGGAAACCGAAAATAAAATAATATTTTTAAGGAAAACAGTTTGCATTAAAGTAATATATATTATAGACAGTTTACTTCCGTTCATACACGTATACGTTGATTAGTTATTTAATTGTAATCTTTAAACACATGTTAGTTGAAAATTAATTAGAGCGGGAACCAGTAAAACTTAGTGCTTTAGGTATGTGGGCGTCACATTTTTATCATCTCTCACCTTCAAGCAAGTGCCTCAAAATTATACAAAAGCTAATTATTCAATCACCAACAGAATACAAGAGTCTGATTAAGCAATTTAACTGTGATTAGGTGCTGACTGACATTGGAGGAGACTGATTTGCATCTAGCTGGTCGCAGGTTATTAAGGTGTGTGGTTTATGAACCTCCATGCCAGTTTGATCAGGCTCGGTATACAGAATATACATTGGCTAGAAACAGAAAACCTTTCGTGCATTCCAATTGATCCTGCGACGGCCTGGTTGATACATTGGAAATCTTTTCCGGTGGTTAGAAGTTGTTTCAAGTTTGCAAGCAGTAGCTGGATCCTGTCATAACATCAGCCAAGAATTATTTGCCTGGATGTCGGACACAAAGGTAAGAGGGGTTTGATAAAATCAACGAAAGAAACCTTTGCGTCATCTTTTAGCATTTAAAACTATTTGTAACTTTTGAACATTATAAAGTTTTGTTTCCATGTAAATGCAGTAACGAAAGAAATTTTAATGAAACGAATCCTGGAAGGGGTTATTTGACAGAAGAAACTGCAATTTAATTACAAATTGTCGTACTTCATTCACGATGTCTATTGCGAAAAATTACAAATACGCTGAGCAGAAATGCTGAATACCGCGGTACATGCGATGTCTTGATTTCTTACAGCATAAGAGCGGTCAGTGGTCAGGAAAGCAGTAAAGTAATGCAGTGTGGTAATTAATTTCAGGTCCTTCCGTATCATTAGGACAGTTAGCTGTGGTAAGTGACGGGAGGGAAATGCAGGTTATACATTCTAAGAAATTCTTTATTTAAAAGGACTGCAAAGGGACAGGAAACAACCCGTGATATTTTAGGTTATCACGGCGGCGAGTATGAAGATGACTGTCTTCTGGGATGTTGCTCCATGTAGTCTAGTAGGAGATAACTGACGTTTCTGAGGTACTTGCTATCTGCATCATCAGGACGATTATAACCACCAAAAACCTCTAAAACGTCCGTAAACTCCTACCATACTACACCGCGCAACATCTTTGTATACAGTGATCTTCAAGAAGGAACCCGGCGTTGGCCTTCGGTAAATGCCAAACAGCTTTTTCAGATGCTGTAGGTTACAGAATGGAGTATGACGACATAAGACATAAATGCATGAAGTTGCGGACTTGTAGCATGGGTTGTCTAAACTTGCAGGCGCTGATGCTGGTGGTAATGGCTGCCGCGCTGTACTTGGAGACGTGTGCTGCCCCGCACCTGCTGCTGCCGCAACCTCGACCACATCGGGTGCCCTGGGGCAGCAACCCTACATTCCTGGCTTTGCACAGGTGAAGGCGCCTGCTTCTCTGTGACTGATACAACCGAGCTGAATTGTGCCACTCCTTACTACACAAATAATTGTTGTGTGACTAACGGTGAAATATCCCTGTTGCTGTCCTTTTTACTTCCTTTCTTTCACTTACGGCTTTCAATCTTTATTTACTCGTCTTCCTCCGTTCATTTTCTTCACTTATTTTTTAATTACTTTATAATAAACTTATTCTATCTTTAACTTTTTATCTAGGCTATTAATACGGCAATCCTGGTATTGCAATCAGAAGGTTTAACATTGTCTGTACCAAGTCCCGCCGGCCACTGAGTTAGTTGCATCCACTCACAACCATTCTGTTAGATACATTTTAACATCATCGGACTATTATGAGAATCTTCCCCGCTAGAATTCTATTAATTAGGTATCTTCCCATCAGACCTGAATTCTCAGTCCACGAAAAACTCCTTGATTTTACCACCCTAACAACCGTATGAAACAGTTTCTTTACATAACACTTTGAGCAGTTTAATGTTAATAAACAGGTCTACAGACATGGAAAGTAATTTAATGTTAAATACGTAATTTATCTGTACAGTATTAACTGCAAACGTTCCTTCTATCCCATTAATATGGATGATTGCGTACGTTAGTTTGGAACGCATGAGATCACGCCAAACTTAATAAACCAGTCCAGAATTCGCTTGAAAGGATTACGTGAACCAGTGAAAAGAAGAATATACAAATGCACTCCAGGTGTCGCGTTAAAAAAGGAGAGTTTTATTTAACGACTTCGTCTCTTTAGTGTCTACATGCATG